TGTGTTTATAAAGATTTGAGGAGGAAAAGTGATCCCCCCCCCATGGGAAAAATCCTGAATAATGTAGAAAATATACAAGAGCCTTCTGAAGATAAAAGTTATCTTCCTCCAAGGGGATGAAATTCAGGAACAATGAGAGACAGAAGGGGCTTGTGTGTGTGTGTGTGTGTGTGTGTGTGTGTGTGTGTGTGTGTGTGAAACTGGTGCTTTAATTAACCCAGAATGATGTACCTTTGCTCCGGACATAAGGCAGATGCAAAAATAATGGACCTACATAATAAATTGATAACTATAGCTTTTCTTTCACCGTTTTATTGTTGTTGTTGTGGAAGCATATTTATACCAGTTTCTCATTCAGATTTTCCCAGTGTGCCAAATACAAAATAGAAAGACTAGGCACCACCTGTAGGAGTCTGACATTAGCATGCAAATGTAGAAGGATTTCCCTTGATCAAGGTAGTGGAGGTAGTGTTTTTGATGGTCTTGCTTTCTATGCAGTCCTTCAGTCCAAGCACTGTTTCTTCACATTTATGCTTTAAGAATCTCTGTAGCAGCAGAGTAGACAGTATCCAAGTTATAGTATTCAATTACCTGCTAGCAGGGCCCCTGAGAACCTCAAGGCTGCTTCTTGTCCCTCTCGGGGCTACAAAGAAATGCATTTCAGCCTTTTTAGTTGCTGAGGATCAGGCACATAAAGAGAATGAATTTGTGTCAAGACTGATAGTAATAGAGATGTCAAAGATTATTATCCTTTACCTGCTTTATTTATTAAGCCTCACTGAATCTCATTATAGTAGAACTTCCTGGCTAGTGCCATGATGATTTTAAACCCCAAAGGCTTGGAATTTTATTTAAAGAACTACCCACAAGAAGGTGCAAAATGTGAATATCCTTCCTTCCTCCCTCCCTTCCTTACAAATGAAATATGGATGCAAAAGCAATTTCTGATACATCTTAGTATATTCAGTGAAGAAACTTGAGCTGTCCTCAACCTGATGAGCAGACAGTATTTCTGATCTGATGGATTGAAGGAAAGATCATAGCTCCCTTGCAGAGAATCTGCTTTGTGTGCAAGTTTTGTGCTCAGCCAATACCACCACACATTAAAAAATCTTTTAGAGGTAATGAAAGAATTACCAGTACTACTTGAGAAAGGATGTCAAGCAGAATAGATAATAGTTGAATGTCTAAATATTCTCATGTGCTATCAGGCAGCTGTTGCATGGCTTCTGCATAGCAACAAAGTCCTACTTTAAATAAGCTTTTAAAATATTACTGACTGTATTTCTTTTAGGGGTTGTTTAAGTATAATACAACCTTTGCTGCTTTAGCTAATTAAATGCGATTGTTTTAAATAAACATTTCAATTACACTGAGTAAAAAAAAGAACCTTTTCAATCAACCCTATGAAAGTTTATACCAAAACTCTAATTGTGGGTATTTACTTTTAGTAACTCCATTGTTGCATGATTGCCGCCTGTCTGTCCATCCATCCAAAATAACATGTAACACAAGTATCTCTTCTCCCCAGGAATATATTTCTTGACTTTTGTTTATCTCAAGGTGACCCACAATTCCTGTATATAAATGTGCCCTTCATTTATAACTCATAAATAGATATTCTTGCTATCTATACTGTATTATCACCCTTCCCTTTTTTTCTGACTCCCTTATCATGTATCCTGTCCCATTGCATCCCCACAAAGCTGAATTTGCTCTCCAAAGTTATTTGACTCACCAATGCTACAATCTCATTTATTCTTTCTCTCTTTTAGCCTGGGGGGCTGGGCTCCCCATGGATAAAGAAGGATGATAGCTAGATGGAAATGGATGGTGGGCAGCTACCCAGGTTTTGGCTCTAATGATAGGTGGTGAGCGCACTCAAAGTGGAGATTGAAGGCATTATGGCACTCCCTTCACTTTGCTTTAGAGCAGTGTTTCTCAACTTTGACAATTTTAAGGCATGTGGACCAACTCCCAGAATTCCACAGCCAGCTTAAGAATTCTGGGAGCTGAAGTCCATCCATCTTAAAGTTGCCCAGGTTGAGAAACACTGCTTTAGAGAATAATCTTTAGTTTTTCCTCTTTCCTTGAAGTTCTGCAAATAGTATCTGTCTCATCTGATTGAAATGCATTTTAATTCTTCTAGTTTGGCCTAACTGTGCATATGTTCACCTACCAGAAAGAGTCAGCAGCAGAGGAGGAAGGAAGGTCCATTGATTTAGGCCTCAAAAGGGATTCTGAGAGTTATCATACCTGGACTGCAAAAATCTCTGGCAACCCTATACTTGGATGACCAATTTTTAACCCAAATTCAATAGTCCTATTCTTAGTAGTGCAATTTAGCAATGGCCAAAACAAATGCCCCTGCCCCCCAAATATGTCATTTTTTGAGTGAAAAACATTAGATAGCTTTCAGGCCAATTAAAATTACGCTCTGTTTTTCTGTTGAGTCATTCTCACTGCTTTAAGAGTCAAGTGGCCCAAACACCAGGCATTCTATGTTATTTATAATAAAGCATTTTCACTATGCAACAGTACTTTAGAGACAGTGCAGGGATGGATTTTAATCAGCCTGGAGTAATTCTGACTCTTCACATTGTGAAATATGACAGAAGTGCATATATAAGAAATGTTAATCTTCCAGGATTACTATGGGAAGATATTTGAATTTTGTTTTTATTTTTCCACTGATGATCTAAGCAGCCAACCCTTTTGGTCTGTGCATGCAATCAGTTCTGGTGAATTGACTGATCTCTGTAACAGAAGAATACTGCTGATTAAACAGCATGGAACTTGCTCTTTTTTAATCTAATGGCAGAAGTTCTTGTGGGAAACTCCAGCATCAAGGAGAACGACAGTTCTTTGCCCTTCTGGATTTCAAAAGATCAACCTAAATGGGGGTCAGGAGAATGCATGGCTTAAATACAGAGAACCTCAGCATATTTGAAAGCATGAGTTAGGTTTCTGAACAATGTGTCTCTGAGCATACAGTACTCACATAATTAATCACTTTGAGAATAGAATAGAATAGAATAGAATAGAATAGAATAGAATAGAATAGAATAGAATAGAATAGAATAACAGAGTTGGAAGGGACCTTGTAGGTCATCTAGTCCAACCCCCTGCCCAAGCAGGAGTCCCTACTGAAGCACCAGCAACTTCTGAGGACAATCTGTTCCATTGGTTGCTTGTTCTCACTGTCAGGAAATTTCTCCTTATTTCCAGGTTGAATCTCTCCTTGATCGGTTTCCATCCATTATTCCTTGTCTGGCCTTCAGGTGCTTTGGAAAATAGGCTGACCTCCTCTTCTCTGTGGCAGCCCCTCAAATATTAGAGCACTGCTATCATGTCTCCCTTGGTCCTTCTCTTCACTAGACTAGCCATGCCCAGTTCCTGTAACCATTCTTCATATGTTTTAGCCTCTAGTTCCCTAATCATCTTTGTTGCTCTTTGCATTTTTTCTAGAATCTCAACATCTTTTTTATAGTGTGGAAGCCAAAATTGGTTGCAGTATTCTAGATGTGGTCTTACTAGGGCTTTATAGAGTGGTATTAGTACTCCACGTGATTTTGATTGAATCCCTCTATTAATGCAACTTAGGATTGCATTGGCTGTTTTGGCTGCCAACACACACTGTTGGCTCACATTTAATTGATTGTTTAATAAGATTCCAAGATCCCTTTCACAGTTGCTGCTATTAAGCCTGGTTTCACCCAATCTATATGTGTACTTTTGACTTTTCTTGCCTAAGTGTAAGACTTTACTTTTCTCTACAGTGAATTTCATTTTGTTAGATAGGGTCCAGTGTTCAAGTCTGTCAAGATCCCTCTGGATCTTGAGCCTATCATCTAGGGTGTTGGCTATTCCTGCCAGCTTAGTTTCATCTGCAAATTTGATAAGTTCCCCTTGTATTCCCTCATCTAGGTCATTTATGAAGATAATGAAGAGTACTGGGCCTAGGACAGAACCTTGTGGTACCCCACTGCTTACTCCCCTCCATGTAGACATAGTACCATTAAGGACTACTCATAGAGTGCGGTTTATCAGCCAGTTAAAAATCCATCTGATGGTGATGCTGTCTATCCCACTTTTTTTAAGCTTTCCAAGAAACAGGTTGTGGTCTACTTTGTTGAATGACTTGCTGAAGTCCAAGTATACTACTTCCACAGCATTCTGCTGGTTCACCAACTTAGTCACCTGATCAAAGAATGAAATAAGATTGGTTTGGCATGATCTGTTTTTAATAAACCTGTGTTGGCTTATAACTTCGTTTGTTTCTAGATGTTTGCAGATCTGGTTTTTGTTGTTGTTGTTGTTGTTATCTTTTCCAGTATCTTCCCAGGTATTGATGTTAGGCTGATTGGTCTATAGTTTCCTGGATCTGTTTTTTTCTTTTTTGAAGATGGAAACTACATCAGCTCTTTTCCAATCCTCTGGTAGTTCCCCAGTGCTCTAGGATTTTTGAAAGATATGGTACAGTGGTTCTGAAATCACATCTGCCAGCTCCTTCAGGACTCTGGGGTGTAGTCCATCAGGTCCTGGTGATTTATGTTCATCAAGATTGGACAGGTGTTCTCTTACCATTTTTTTGTTTATTTTAACTTTTATTTTTAGTCTGTCTTTTTCAGTTATGTTTTTGGTAGGTTTACGCTTTGCAGAATTACAGTACTATAGCTGGTCAGAAGTCCTGATCTGCCACCTAGTGGGCAGTAAAAATATATATTCTGGCATAGTTTAATTCAGGGGAAGAGGAATCATACAGTACCATAGTTTAGGTACACATGAAAGTGAAAGATCAGTTCTTCTGTTAGCATATTTCTTCAGAGAAAAGGCAGAGGCATTGAACTAAATTGGGGAACGCCTCCTTTTTCTTTCTTCCACCATCCTACTTGAACTGATAAATGTGCAAAATCCTTCCCCCCTCCCCCGCCCCAATGCTGTATTTATTTGGCTCCGCCTCTTTTTCTCCTGTCTCCATCCGTCTTCTATGAAATTAAGCTGGGGCCAGAAGTTTGGTAACCTCCGATTTTCCTGTAAAGATCACTGAAAAAGAGGTAGGGAACAAACCAAGAAGGACTTCGTGCGAAGGAGTGTGCTTAATGTTTTTGTCGGTGATGCTGAATTGCTTTGCTCCCAGCTGGCCCTTAATAACTGATGCAAGCCACCTTAGGAGAAAGGTAACTTCATAGCTGCTCTGTGTCCTCAAAGTGTGGTCCTAGGACTTTTGGGGGTCCCCACCAAGACTCTCAAGGGTCCACAGGTCAAAATTATTTGCCAGCCTATGTTGCAAAATACAATATTTAAATCTCATCACAATTTTGAGAAAGGGCAGCAAATGTATCATTTTTAATATAGTTAATATCAATAACTGTAACCCATACAAGCAACCTCCATAATTTTTTAAAGTGGGAAGGGGTCTGAGAAAAAAAGTTTTAAAAGCACTGTTGTAGAGCAAGTTAAACAATTACCTGTTCCCTCAAGATTGTCTTAACCATGGTTTGACAAATAAGCCCCAATAGTCTTATTTACCTCTCAGGCATAAACCATATTTAGTTGAGCATAATGTGTGAACTCAGCCAATTTGTCTAAATGGTTCTTCAGAGAATGAAAATCTTTCTAATCACCTTAATTTTTTTTTCCTTTACATTTTTTTGGGAAATGGAAATGCAGACTGAGCCTGTTCTCTCCTCCTTCTGTTCTCTCTCTCTCTCTCTCTCTCTCCTCTCTCTCTCTCTCTCTCTCTCTCTCTCTCTCTCTGGCATCAACCTTCTCTTGGTCATTGCCACTGTTAGTGGGAGACATTTACAACTCATGGGGGAGGGGCTGTCACAAGGGCTCTGCATCTAATCTTTTCCCTGGTTCTGCTTTCTATAAATCTGCCCCCCCCCCCATCTCCTTCCCTCTTTGTTCTTTTATCGTAATGATTTGGGGAATTTCAAAGTAGGGGATAAAACCGCTGAATGTTTGGAAGCTATATAAACCTAGGTTACATAAATGAAAGCTGTTGAAACAGCATTTGAAAAATTTTCTTTCTTCCTTTTGGAGTTCTTGAACACCTAATCTCATGTAGGTATAAAACCACACCTTTTCTGGAGTTTGTTCCCATAGGTTGTTTTGTTTGTGTTTGGAGATGGGCAACGAGAGAGGGGGGGAGCAGGGAGAGGGGGAGGGGGAGGGGGAGAGAGGGGGGAAGGAAAGAGAGAGAGAAGGAGGGGGAGGGAGAGAGAGAGAGAGAGGAAGAGGGGAGAGGGAGGAAGGGAGAGAGAGAGAGAGAGAGAGATGGGTTGGGCTTCAGTGAGACTGTCATTTAGTTGATGAGTATACATGTATACATGAATGTGTGATGAGTATACATGCATACATGAATGTGTGACTCTGTGTGTTTGCATGTGTATGAGTAGGATTAGGTGAAAAACCATCCAGATCAGCAAATGATCTGGGACACACCTAAAAGTGTGGCTGTGCAAGTATTATGATTTAGGTCTATTTATTCCCCCCTCCCCCCAAGACAGAAATGGAATGGAAGGGATACTTAACAGAATGTAGGATCTCAGCGTGGAAGCTGAATGAAAATTTCATGTTTTTCAAGGATATGAGTTCCTGAATACAATGAAGTCATGCTAGTAGTAAAGAAATGCAGAAAACTTGGATTTCACATTCGGAATGCAATGGACAGGGAGACACAGGAAGTCTTCCCTGGATTTTGGAGCTGTTTTGTGGCTTCAATACTCGTTTGACAAAATAATAGAGGTAGGATCTAGCCAACATTTGGTGGGATTAATGGATTTATGGATTTTATTAATGTTGTCCTCTGCATGCATGGAGCACTACATAGTTTTGAAATGTATTGGGCCTAGAATTGTCTATCCAGATTTACAACATCTTAATGCAGACATTTGGCTCAATTCAAAGTGGTGTATGTGTGTGTGATGTGTGCATATGTGTATATATCCCATTTGGTAAACAGTATGTTAAATTACATGTGTATTTTGAGCTAGAACATAGAGAGTATTTTTTTCTGGGGGAAAATATTGCTGTTGGATGTTTTGCAGACCCAAAACTCCAACATTTCAGAACAGCAGCCTTGTTGTCAGTCTAATATTTCAGAGTTAATGAATTCAGTGGAAACAGTTCACCGTATAATTTGCATTGCTTTTGTTCTGCTATAATTGCAAATTCAGATGTGCTTTGTATTCAGGATCAGCAGAACTGGACAAAATTAGGGCATTTCAGCCTGTACTACATGCTTGTGAGTAGAGTACACTAAGAAGGCAAGTTACAAAGAACCTGAAGAGATTCCTTGTATAATCTCTTATTCTTGTTTCTGGATGAATGGCTAAGCTGTGTTTGTTTTTTCTTTTTTTGCATTTGACAATCTAATTTGTGATACACGAAATGAAAATGTTTGTATTATCTTTATATAGAATTCCAAGTGCTGGATGACAAAGTATAATTTTGAGAGATACAGTCATGAGCAGACATCTAGATTTATATTTTTAAATGCAATATTTGTGTAATATGATTACAAATTAATGAACATTCTATTATATATAAAGCTTAAAGTATTGAAAATAGGAAGAAAAAGGTAAACATTCTATCAATATTAATAACATATGGTCAATGTTGAAAACATAACATTATATGACTTTTCATCCAAAATAGGGTATAACATTTAAGCCGTTGTATTTCATATCAAGGTAATAGTTATGAGACAATAGTTTCAGTCTAAAAGTATAATATTAAGATCACCATTTTATTACTTAGTATATATGTTTGTATGTATGTTGCATATATATATATATATATATATATATATATATATATATATATATATGAAGAGATGTTGACAAAGAAAATACTATAAGAACTAAAGCAAATTTAACAAAAATTAAAATATCTGAAAAATAAATAAAAGACATAACAATAATAAGCCAAACTACTGATTTTTGACTCTCCCTTTTTCTACATTTGCTAATTTATGATATTTGTGAACATTGGGCCCCTTAAAAACTATTCTGCAAGTGGTTATATTTATCATGCTGTGCGATGTATGCATGGGAACCATTTTTGTTTAAATTTAGTTAAATTTCTATTGTGTAAGTAGTATACTATTAATTTTCCCTTTGCTGCTTATTCTCCAAGTTTAAATTCTCAATCAGATATTGTCGGAATCGTATCTTTCTTCCAATATTGGGAAAAATGTATTCTTACTGCTGTAAGCAGTATTTGATTAAATTATATTTGATTAAATTATATTTCTTCTTAATTTTTTTCTGAGATTATCCCTAATAAAAACCATTGCAATTTCATTTCAGATTTAAATTCCAAGATTATCTGCATCACTTTATGTACATCTTCCAAGTAATTCTAAGTTCTTTAAAGTCCACTACATATGATTAAATCTTCCTTCTGTTTCATGACATTCCAACATTTATTATTACTATATGATTTGTCCATACTGAATATTAATGATGTAGTTGTAAAATACCATCTGTAAATATTTTGTACTTATTTTCCTTTAAATTATAATTTGTGAATTTCATTGACTTGGTCCATAATTCTTCCCATTGTTGTATTCTAACTATTTCTTTGAAATTTTCCATCTAATTTATTATGCAGTTAGTTTGTTCTATCTGTGTATCATATCTAAATAAGAGTTTATATAATAAGACCTAATAGGCGCTGCTGATTTTGTATGAGAATTTCAAATTTGGGGGGGGGGGGGTTCTTAATATCCTTCCTTCCTTTTTGAGATTTGATTTTATCCTTCCCACTATTTGTAACTACATCAGCTATGATGTGTTCCAGCCTTCACTGACTAATTCTTGCTGTGTTTTTAATATATTTGTGGAATCTGAATCAACTATATCTTCATAAATATTATATTTTTCATGTTGTAATTATCCCAACATGAAAAGCACATAAGGGAGAAGTTAGGGATGAAATTGTTGAGTTTATTATTTCTTTTATGGCATTCCATATTTTATCAAACTGTCTGATGACATGCCCTTTTAAGATTTTCATCCTCCCCTGTATTTCTGTGTGGTATCAATGATGTCCATTAGCTAAAGCAGTCTCTTCCAAAATTGCAATTCTACTATTTGAACCATTTTATCCACTTTCTTATCCATGGCAAACAACATGATACAGTTTTGGTGGTAAGGATGAAACTACCCCTCTTTTTGGAATTTTTGTAAAATAAAATAATTGATTTCCAGGTCTTTTCTTACTTTGTAGGGAATTTACTGACAGTTTCTTGCCCTTTTTGTAAGATTCTCTCTGAAATTTTAAGCAGACTTTTGGATTTCTAATGTGCACAAAAATCTACTTCCATCTGCTTCTCTTGCATTCTCTTTCTATTTAACCTTCATATTATCTTGGCAAATATTTGGGACTTATCCTCATGCTGTTCTCACCCCACCATGAACGTGCTCCAGGACATTGCCTTCATCTCGCTTCTAGCCCTATGCTGTACCAAAGTCCTATTTAAACTGAGAAAGAATTGGCTTCTGCCCATTATCACTTGTGAATATATTAATGGTTTTCCACTGCTGACAAAGATATTCACGTGACCACAGTTAAATAAAACACATCTATACTTTTCCTGTTTGTGTTACTTTTGTGCAGTGGCTCAATTTTGTCTGCTCCTATGTCATGGTGCCTTTTCTGGTAACCACAGCCCTTTGTTGCCATTTTCATGTAGAAGTAGATAGAGATGGAACTTGTTTGTTACTTATCACTTCCTCTCATTTCATCCCTTACCTATACCTGGTAGCCCAACTGCCAGGTCAGAAGTGCAGAGACTGACCTCCAGGCAGAAGAGCTTCCTCCTGCTTCATCCCATATCACTCCTCCAGGCTTGCCATCTGCCAGCTCAATTATTTTTTGAACATGCATTATTTCAAAATACCCGCTTATACTTGCCCAGTCCTGTCCTCCACCTCTTAAAGATAATGATTGGTGAAAGACGGAACAAACTCAGTGGATTTCACTTTCCATAATTTATTGCACATTAAACCTGTAACACAAGTCCCACTTGCCCGCTTTCTTATTGAGGCAGAATAGGACTCAGGGATGAGGCAACTATTTTTATGCTGGCATGCCGTATCCTTCTGATTACTCAAGGGCTCGCAGACTGCTCTTTACTGTGATTGCTTGGACCTGCCCTTATTGCTTG